GAGGGGGGGGGGTTGCATTTGAGAGGAAGGGCATGTGATGATCATTAACGACCGGACGGACCGGACGGACTCCGTAGGGGAATCGGCGAAGTAATTTTGAATGTAGGCCTTTTGGGCTGTAGAAAGAGGGCAAGTATTTTGTACCTTCTCTTTCTGCTCCGCCTTCTCTTTCGCCGCCTCCTGCTGTTCCTCTTTCCCCCCCTCCACTTCTGATCGTCACGTGTTGACCGCTTGCAGATCGCGGCTACCCAGTCCGTCCTGAATCTGGAAGTACCCATCATCCCGTAGCTTTTCATTTTTATTTCTTTTGTGAACCTGGTCTTCCTATTTTCCCTCCATTTTCTGATCTTCATGTGTCGACCGTTTGCAGATCGCGGATTCCCAGTCCATGGATCCAGAAGTACCCATTTCTTTTCTTTTTTTTAAATCGAACTTGCAAGGACATCTTGGCTACCCAGTCCGCCCTGAATCTGGAAGTACCCAGCCCGTAGCTTTTCATTTTCACTTCTTTTGCGAACCTTGTCTTCCTATTTCCCCTCCATTTTTTGATCTTCATGTGTCGACCGTTTGCAGATCGAGGCTCCCCATTCCATGGATCCGGACGTACCCATTTCTTTTCTTTCTTTTAATATCGAACTTGCGACGACATCTTCTGGAGAAGAGAGGAGGAAGGATGGAGGCCGATGATGGAGGAGGGTGGAGAATGACGAAGAGAAGAACAAGATAAAATATAAATCGCCGCTGCGGCACGCGACAAAGGATGGAGGAGGAGGAAAGAGGACGGGGGGAAGCGTGGAGAAAGGAAAGGAGGATGATGACAAGGGAGGGCGATAATGTGGATGAGTTTGAGATGACAAAAAAAAAATTGCGGGTCGGTATTGCACATTGGACGTGACGGGAGGAGAGAGGAGGGAGGAGGAGGAAGGAGGGAGAGGAAGAGGAAGTTGGAGGAAGGGGAAGGAGGGAGGAGGAAGAGGGAGGCGGAAGAGGGAGGAGGAGGAGGGGAGATGAGGAGGAAGGAAGACGAGCTGGAAGGAGGAGAATGACGACTGCGAGAACAAGACAAGAAAAATCGGGTGCCGGTGTGCCACGTGGCATGTGACAGGAGGAGGAAGGCGGAGCAGGAGATAGCAGGAAGTTGGAGGGATGAGGAGGAGGAAGTTGGAGGGAGGAGGAGGAAAGAGGAGGAAGTTGGACGAAGGACGAGGGAGGAGGAAGTTGGAGGAGGAGGGAGGACGACGAGGGGAGCGAGGAGGGATCAGGAAGAGAGGATGACGAGGACGATAACAAGAAAAGAAACAATCATGTGTCGCTGTGCCACGTGGCACGGATTGGAGGAGAGAGGGGGAAGGAGAATGAAGGAAAGAGGAGGAAAAAGGAGGATGGAGAGGATGACGAGGACCAGAACAGGATGAAAATAAAATGGTCTGCCGGCGTGCCACGTGGCCCACAATGGGAGTAGAGAGGAGGGAAGAGGTAGGAGGAGAAAGTGCGTGGAAGGAGGAAGGAGGATGAGGGGAGACGAGGTTGAAGGACGAGGAAGAGGAGTGTGCCACATGGCAACATGACGAGAGGAGAAAGGTGGAAGTAGAAAGGTGGAAGGAGGGAGGAGGACTAGGGGAGACGAGGACGAGAGGAGGAGGAGGAAGGAGGGATGGGGACTAGGGGGGACGAGGAGGATGGAGTAGGAGGACAGAGGAGGATGACAAGGACGAGAACAAGAAAATAAAATCGCACGCCACGAGAGTAGGATAGAGGAGGAGGGAGGAGGGCGATTACAAGCACCCCAGGTTGAAGAAAAGAAATTGTGTCACACTGCCACGCGGCACGGGACGGGGGAGAGAGGAGGAGGGAGGAGCGTAACAGGTTGCCTGCGTCGAGTTTTGACATCATGCCTGAGAGCACCACTTCCTCCGAATGCTATTTGTCAAGCCGGTTTTTGCCGTACCCTCTGTGCGTGTGTGTGTGTGTGTGTGAGAGAGAGAGAGAGAGAGAGAGAGAGAGAGAGAGAGAGAGAGAGAGAGAGAGAGANNNGAGAGAGAGAGAGAGAGAGAGAGAGAGAGAGAGAGAGAGAGAGAGAGAGAGAGAGAGAGAGAGAGAGTGAGAGAGAGAGAGATTGGTCCCTCCCGAGGAGCACAAGTGGAAAATGGTTTTCGGATGCTTTTGAGACGAGCAGGAACAATAACAGCGGTGTCGTAAGATCTGCAGATTAATACCCACAGAGAGAGAGAGAGAGAGAGAGAGAGAGAGAGAGAGATTACATTTGGACCACGGATATCTCATTGATATTTTCCATGTGTGCGGGCGTGGCCGCACTGGCTTTACCTGTACCTATTAGAGCTTGCTGGCGGCCATGGCCACATCTTCCTGTACTGAGACAATTGGTAGATCAGTTGTCAGTCGGTTGAGTCAGCAGCAAAGTCCGTCGAAAGTACGCAAGCTTATGGAAGCGACAAATATAGGCAGGGTACCGGACCCATAACCGGTAGCTGCATTATGGAAGGCAAACCGTCAAGGTCAGAAGTCCAGTTGGCGAAGCAGGCAATACATATTCACGTGTGCGACCTTGATGAGGCGCTGCTGCACTATTTTGGGATACTGACGACTGCTCTGTTTGGAGAAACGGCAACTTGTGCAGATCATTGACTTTGGCTGTGGTGGTAGTGTACGGCACTGGGCGCCCGTAGGGAGTACCCATAGCCAGGTCAAGTGTGAGGTTGTGAGGGAGAGGGACTCGAGAGGTATCACAAAGAGATACCTTGGTGAGAGAGAGAGAAGTGAGGCTGAGAGAGAGCAACCGTACGTATTAGAGCTTGCTGGCGGCCATAGCCACATCTTCCTGTACAGAGACAATCTTGTGTTATCGAGTTGATTGGCAGATAGTCTTCAAGGTACATCTCACATGTGCTTTGGTGTGTGTGTGGCATCTGGTGTGTGGGTGGCGTGAGAGGGTCGTGTATGGTTGGTCTCACAGCATTTATTATATGGGGAGGGAGCGATTGAGGGAGATGAGGATCGCGAGAGGAGTTAGATGACAGTGATTCAATCTTGCGTTCTTCTTCTTCTTCTTCTTCTTCTTCTTCTTCTTCTATCATTCTTCGTTCTTCTGCTCCCCTGCGCTAAATCCACATCTTCTCGAGTTGCAAAGTGTTGCATCGTCTTGTAGTTGAGAATTGCATTGTGAATTGGGCACGATCATAGCGATGATGATGAAGAGAGTGGCTTTTGTTGAACCATGATTTCCCCCCCCCCTGATAGCTGGAGGTTGGAGGAGGAGTGAGGGAGACGGAGGGAGAAAGAGGAAGATTCACAGGATACTGGTGGATCCAGGGGACAGAAAAAGGGAGGAGAAGGAAGAGATGGAGAGCGGAGGAAAGCAGACCATTACTACTTTGCCCTTGCTTCCTCCACCCTGCACCCACACCCCTTTGTGACGGCATCGCAAACTGAGATCAGATGTTTTCATTTGGTGATACAAGCAGTGTTGGTCATGCATGTCCATTCGCCATCTGTCAAAATTGGAACGATACACAGATTCACAGAAGATAGCGTGGGAAAAAAAGTAGTTCTATTGGGCAAGAAATGGTGGTATTTCTAGGGTGAGGACTTCAGACAGGACAGCATCTGACAAGGTCAGTTTCAGTCAAACTCTCATGGTCTACTTATGCCTTCTGTTGTTTTCTTTTGTTCTTTTCTTTTGTGGATGAAGCCACAATAGGTAATCTAGTTCAAGGAGAAATAATGTACTGGGCCAGCAAACAGAAAGGAGGACATCTAGTGTTGTCGATATAGGCAGTGGAAATGAGGCTGAACTTCGTAAGGGGCCACCCCCTTCTCAAACGATGAAAGACAGGACAGAGTTGCAGCCTTGCATCATGTTTCACATCTAAGAGATCAGCGCTGAGGTATTTACCTGAATGTTTTTGTGGCAATTCTCTTTGGTTGCAGCTCGTGGGCAGGATAACGCGGGAAACGCGGGGTTGGCTGATGACAAGCTTAGCCTACTGCGGGGAGAAGGTGTGGCAGGCCTCACCGCAGAATGTCAATGTCTAGAACGCCTGCCAGAGGAGCACCCACTTCTCCTTTGGGTGCTAATTTGGGTCCATTAATTGCTGGCAGGAGAGCATCTCAGCAGTCACAGACCTCAATGGTTTGGCACAGACAGGAGTTGAAGCATTCACGGTATGCTTCTGTTGGCGAGTCCCTTGTAAATGAAGAGGATGATGAGGAGCAGCGGGAGGATGATGGCAACAGTAACAGTGAAGAGGATGAAAGGGATTTCTGGCTCAGGTGTTGCTTTCAGAACCTATTTGTTGCACTTTTGCGGAAAAGGGTTCACCCTACCTTGAAACTAACTGACTAATGTGTCAATCCATCCGCGCGGATGATGAGGAGCAGCGGGAGGATGATGGAAACAGTAACAGTGAAGAAGAGGAAAGGGATTTCTGGCTCAGGTGTTGCTTTCAGAACCTATTTGTTGCACTTTTGCGGAAAAGGGTTCACCCTACCTTGAAACTAACTGACTAATGTGTCAATCCATCAGCGCACTAACCTACCCATCCGTTAGTGGCCAACCAATCACTCAGCTTCACGATTGATGAGCTCTCTCTAAAGACTGGGCAGGTTCAGCGAGTCTTCCTTCAAAAGTTTTGAAGGGCTGTTGCAAGAGATTGTGCTGTGATTGCACTGAAGTCTGAGCATTTGTTTTTGCTTCCCATTCGTGGAGATGGTTTGTCCAGATGAGTGTCTCTTGGGAGCCCAATATAATGGTCAATTCTATGATTGCTTTCATTTTTTGCTCTGGAAAGGTGGCAGCTTGTTTGACCTCCGTAGATGTGTTGATGGTTTATTGGCTTTTGGCAGACCAACAAGTAATAGTGAAGCAATCTGGGTGTCCGCATGCTTTGTGGAGAGTTCCTTGAGGTCAGATGGACTAGAGCGTCCGATAACTGCCCTTGACTGTCATCCAAGAAATCCTCAGCTGATTGCGGCAGCATATGGAAGCCCACAGACATCTCCGATGGTTATGAAGCCAACACATGCCGTGACTCGCCGGCCTCTTCTCGGGTCAGCAACAGCGTGGTCAACACCCTTTGCCCTGTGGGAAGGAACAAAAAGAGGAATTGGGGAAGGTGGTCAAGGTGTGGTAGAGGACGAGGGCAGGGTGCTTATCTGGTCCCTGCAACAGCATGAGCAACCAGAGGGGCAGTTTACATGTGATTCTATGGTAACTGCTCTTATCTGGGACCCTGGAAGCCCATGGGTTGTCCTGGCAGGGACATATTCGGGGCAAATTGTATCATGGGATATGAGAGTTGGGCAGCAACCTGTTCAGAAAAGCCCTCTTGTATTTGGGAGGGGAGGTGGCCATGCACATCCTGTTTATGTCTTGGAGAAGGTTGGTGATGGAGGCAGCAGCATGTTTGCAACTGCGAGCACGGATGGGCGGATGTGCATGTGGAAGCGTGGCATGCTTGGGAAGGTGAGCTGTGATGTTTATGGGTTTTCAGTGGCCATGGTACGTTCCATGTTTTCTATTTGATTGATGCGTCCTTTGTGCTCATGACTATGATGGGGGATATTTGTGAGGTGGTTTTCTGGTCCTTTCTGACAAGGACTAGTCTCACAGAATCAGTTACACGTATATCATTAGTGCATCATTCACTGCTTTCTTGTATTCTGGGCTCGGTAAAGGGAGAGGGTGCAGCTGAATCACAAATTGTGGTGATAGTCATCCCTTTCTCTTTCTCATTTCATTATGACGTATCTCAGACCCAACAACTGCTTTGCAGTTTATGTGCACCAAAGCTTGCCACACTGATGGCCACTATGCAGGTTTATCTGGCCAGATATGCAGGATATAATCCATTTGAAATGACACAAATTTGCCTCAGTGGCTCAGTAGTGGTTTTGCAAGTCGAACGCAAGTTGAACACAAGTTGAACGCCTGCACAGTTGCGGTCTGAGAAATGTGCACTTTCTGAAAATGCTGTCTTTTTGGGTACGCAACGGGCTCACTCAACTACAATACGACACATGTAAGAAACATAATCATTGTTTGTGGTCCAAAACTCTGCAGCACACCACCGTGGCTTGCCCTGACAAGGGGAAACCGCCGGTCAGGCAACTGATCTTGTCGCGTCCAGAAAATTGAGTTCAGCAGGGAATTCAGCAATGGATAATGCGACTGCATTCCATGCTCCATCGGCCACAGTTGTTCAGCTAACAGCCTACCCTGTGTTCGGGATCACATGGTAGTAAGCTTGTTTAGAGGACTATTTTGTTCGGTTTGTCCCTACTTTGGGCCATCCTCTCGATCCACAAAGATTCCTTGCTTGCAAGGTACCCGATCAGTTGGCTCACGAACCTGTTTCCACATCTAGTTCTTCCATGGAATTGGCAAAGTGGGACAGGTTGGAGAACTTGGACCCTCAATCGCTCAAAGACTTTGCTTCGATGCCCCCCTCATGAGGTACTTGTTGGGACAACGCTGTACCATATTTCGAGCACATTTGCAGTACTTGTCCCGTGCAGTACCAAGTCCACCTTCGGATTCTGGAGTTGTGGTAGCCGATCTTCAGCACTATATTGTGAAGGTTGGACACAAGTTTCACACATAGTTGTATGAAAAGAATGATATGTCCGCATTCAAATAGGACAGGCGACCTGCAACAACGCTAATTATTGCATTGCGACTCGTAACTATGTTAGCCCATCACAGGTAAGGAAGTCAGTAGGCGCCTGTACTGACCTGGTGGACATTAGGGGGCTGTGGTGTAGGAGGAGAGGAGAGAAAGACTTGGGCCCTGTTTTTGAGTTGGTTCCTCTGTGGCTGATTTTTGGTGTGATAGAGAAGCATGTACGCTATCAAACAGTGTATTATGATCCTGGCTATCTTGAAGTGCAATAACTCAAAGAACGACAATGTCGATCAATTGCAAGTGAAATGAAAGAACCTGGAAAGAGAAAGAGACAAGGGAAGCAGAAGAAATAAGAATGAAGGAGAAGATGTACATCAGCAAAGACCAATGTCAAATCCCTATTCAACTGGCCACCATCTCCAACCCCCTTGAACTCCCCCATCATTCTCTTTTCAATAAAAAATAATAATAACAATGAAAGAATGAACCGGAAACAATGTCTGAATCTCCTCCTTATTGCCAGCAACTATTGAGGTCGACCATAGCCGTCTCATACACCTCCCCCCTGCTTGGCTAAGTAGATGGCTATGGCAGACTGGCGGAGCCGTGCTCAAATGTTCTAAGGACAACGCAAAGACAATGTGTCCTTTCTTACAATGGCCGCCGTGCCTAACAGTACCCCGAAGTCCTCCTTGATGAAGCCAACCCCCGTCACTATGCTCCTTGCCCACCGTCTTCCTCCTCGTCCTCCTACTCGTCGGAGTCTTGCTCCTTTGTCCTCTCCACCATAGCCGAGGTGAAGGGCCAAGCCCACCTTCTTCCTCCCCAGCGTGGGTACCCCAAGCGTGAGCTCCAGCAGTGTGACACCAAACTTGCACAGCTCTTCCTCTTTTTCGGGTGTGCAAGTCAAGACACTGTGTCCTTTCCTACAATAGCCGCCGTGCCTAACACTACCCCGAAGTCTTCCTTGATGAAGCCAACCCCCGTCACTATGCTCCTTGCCACCGTCTTCCTCCTTGGCCTCCTACTCGTCGGTCCTCCTTGGTCCTCTCCACCATAGCCAAGGTGAAGGGCCAAGCCCGCCTTCTTCCTCCCCAGTGCGGGTACACCAAGTGTAGGTGCAGCAGCGTGACACCAGACTTGCACAGCTCTTCCTCTTTTTTGGGTGTGCAAGTCTAGCACCATGCTGCTGGAGCGAGCGCATGGCTTCTTCCTCCCCAGCGCGGGTACACCAAGCGCTTGCTCCAGCAGCGTGACGCCAAACTTGCACACCGGAAAATGATGAAGAGCTCTTTGCTCTTCCTGAAGATATACTGGACTGCTGCCTCCTTGAGCGGTTGACTTTTGAGGCCACTCGGCCTCCCAAGGTACTGGTACCTTCCTCTTTTCGGAGGGAAAGATCATTTTGCAGTCTGATATCCTTCGCTGTGCGCCTTTGACTCAGACTATTGGGCCATATCCTTCGCTGCAGGCTCTAGACTCAGACTATTAGGCCGGTACAATTAGACCCTAAGCCTACCAGACTCTAAAATTCCTTCGGCCTTCAAAGGTGCTAACTTTTTGTCTTCGTCTCGCTACCGACCTGCTACTTGCGGGCCTAGCCTACTCCTAGCTCCTGCTTCAACCCACAAAGCACGGCCACAGCTAAGTACCAGGCCCGAGGGCCTCTGCAACACACAAGTACCCTGGTGGATCACACGCACACTCAAACAATCAGGCAATCAGACAAACACACGGGAACTCAGCAATCATGCACACACACATACTTAGAAATTTCAGCAGCCTCAGCAAGTCACACAATCCAGCGGCAAAACTCTGAAAGAGCAGAGTTCTCAATCCATGATTTTGCTGGTCATTACACCACCCCCCTCTCAAGACCGAGGTTCCTTCAAGTGAGTAACTCAGTCTGAGTCCATGCAAAGTGCATCATAGGCTATTACTGCAAAAGAGTGCTGCTGTGCGTTTATACACTGCGTTTTGCAGTGAACACGGGTGGCTGTTGGGAAACAGTATAACGTTCATAGGCATTAACTACACGAGGTGCATTCTTGAGTTCATCTAATGGGTGATACAGAAAATGGACTTGATACTGTCTGTCCTTTCCCTTACCTGCGTGTGTCACAATTGTGTCAATCTCATGACCACCGCCAATCGCTAGAGGGATCATAGGCTCACAATGAGGAAAGGAAGTAGCAGCAGTGTACGGATACAGTTTAGACGCGTGAAAGACTGGGTACGTGCATAGATGAGGTGGCACACCAATCACATATGAAGGACCGAAAGCATCATCCCCTACCACCTTCAGAACCTCCCAAGGGCCATAGTACAACGGAAGAAGCTGACAAGACACCCCCTCTTCATCTAAAAACACAGACATTTTGACCCAAACATAATCTCCTTCTTTAAATGTCGCAGTGTAGCCAGGCATGTCGGGAGCGAGACCAAGTAGCCGATCAGGGAACAAGAAGTAGAGAGTGTTGCGGATCTGCCATCTGTATTGCAACCTGTTATGTGGCATACGGGTGGTGGAGTGAATGGAGTTGTTATACAACCCCTTCATCGCATCCAGCTCTTCATCCCATGTGTTCTGATCGGGAACGATTAGGGTACGGAGAAGTTCGGTGACAATCTGGTTGATCTCCCCACCAGATATTATGTTCAACTTGATACCGTAGTGTTGAGTGGTAAAGTCCTTTCAATCTGAACTGATGAACCGGGTGTCCAGATCACTCACAAGAGTTTTCAGGGGACCAAACTGCAGAATATACTTCTGTTTGAACTCACAAATTACCAGTTTAGTTAGTGCATGACGTGGCAAAGGAATCAGATTCAGAAATTTGGAGAAGCGGTCAATGACCACCATGACTTGAGAATTCCCTCTCTTACATGCCTTTCCCATGTCTGCGAAGCCAATGGAAATGGATTCACCGGGACCAGAAGGGATGGGGAGTGGAGAAGCGTGAGAGTCTGGCTAGTGGGAGAGTAGTGGTAGATGTCCGTAGTGGGCTATGGAGTTATTTGGAGGGCTGTAAAGGGAACCATCAAGAAGACTTAGGTCTGGCTATGATAGACATCACTGCACTTCCTTGGTTGGTGCTGCATCATGGAGGCCCTTGTTGGTGTGCTGGTTGGACATGGATTTCTTCCGTAGATGAACTCCCATAGCCAACAGTGCTACGAGAGAGGTGAGAGTTAAAAGAGAGGTGAAGGAACGTTCTTTCCACACTGGCAGGAAGGGGGATCTAACAGACATTGATTCTTGTTGATTTGTTCATTCATTGTTATTGTTTTGAATAATAAAAAAGAGGACTTACACGAGGGGTAACAGGGGGGAGAGAAGGTATGAGACATTGGTTCAATCTTGTGATCTTCTTCTTCTCTTCTCTTGTTTCCGAGTTGTGACAAATGGTTTTACCTCAAGGTTGAGTTTTGATCCATGAATTGGGCAGGATTATAGCATCATTATGGAAATCAGAAATTAAAAAATCAAAAGTTTTTATGAACTGAAGCCTAGCCAAAAGTTTGAAATAATTTTGACAAGTTCTTGTTCAGAATTCTTATTGGATTCTTTCAAGTTTGGGAGGTACTATCGTCGGTAGTGCTGTGCAGGCTATTCACCACCTGTGTGCACTTGGTGCCCATGTAGTGCACTGCTGTTCCGTAATCATCTCCTGCACGAGAGGCGTGGTCTTAAGGAACACTAGTTCTTGGCAGTTGTTTGTGGGGTTATTGGGATCATTTTTTTCTGTTTAACCGATATTTAGTGGTCAGAGGCTGATGCTATAATGTTAGTGTAATCTGGGATGTACCTGCATCTGTGGACGCCTATGTACAGTTCCAACGAGTTACATGGAGTACCCTTTAACCATCGTGCTGCCAGATTAGGCCGGTACAAACGAGTCCAGATTTTGGTCATTCGGCTGTGAGCTTGGTTGACAGGCATCATCCGGTTTTGCATTTGGGAATTCATAGCATCATCTATGTATTGAACACTATTACTAAGATGTGTTGCACATGGTAATTGGTTGTTGATTGTCGTTGCATGTAAAATGGCAGGTGTACGAGGTTATCCAGATTTCTCAGCCGAAGGGAGGCTTATATGCGTTTGACATTGGTATCACTGCTGCTGGTTTTCCATCGTGTGAGACTGACTCGTTCTATGTTGGTAGCGAGGGTGGCCATGTCTATCAGGCAAGTCTCTATTTGTGCTTGGCACCAAATTGGCACTATTGCGATTAACCCAGGTCTGCAAAGCTCACAAACAGCCATCAGTCACAAGTTTTCAAATGCATGATAAGACTACAACTCAAGGGAAGCCCATGCCAAAAGAGCTCAACCACATGGTTTAAAGATATGCCCAGAGTACCAGCTCCCTCATGTCAGATATTCCACCTCTATCTTGTTCCTTCTCCCCTCCTCTCTCTTCGACTATCCATCAAGCCTTAAATGTAAGTTAGGCATGCTGCGCCCCAGGAGCGGGGTAGTGCCAAACAGGACTGGGCCCTCAGTCTCTCTACTACCACTATCCCTCAAGCCTTCAGAGTAAGGTAGGCATGCTGGGCCCCAGGAGTGGGCCTGTGCCACACCGGACTGGCCCACTGGCCCAGCCATTTTTTTTTTAATTCATAAATATTTGGTTTTTACTCATCAAGGTCCATTATCTGGATCCGAACGCGGGTCTGTATTTCGACGGTTCATGGGTGCATGGGTGCACCCACTGAGCTAGGCTCATGGGTGGCCCAGCCGCTTTCTTTTTCCTTGCCCTCGTAATGTTTTGTGAGGCCATGGGGGGTTTCCAGGTAAATTTTGGCAGGGCCCTAAGTGAAGGCCTGTAGACGAGTGTGGCAGAGCCCGAAGTGAAGGCCCCGACGTGGTCCGGTCTGTTTAAGAAATGGGCGGGGGTCAGACTGGTCGGGTTATCGGCCCAGCTAACTCGCATCCTGCCAGGTTGCGAGAAAGTAGCAGAGGCAGTGCCTACCGGTCTGCCAAGATTCCGGCCTGGTGTAAAGAAAGTGGCTGGTGCAGTCTGGAGATCTAATGCTAGTTGGCAGACAGCGCTACTCTGCTGGAGCATGTGTGCCCAAAAGCGGCCCTAGTGCTGGCCAGTGAGTGGAGGCAGGCAGTGCCAGTGATAGGTGGGTTGGGTGCCCTAGAGATGGTGTTGGCACATGGAGGGGAGGTCCTGTGGGAAGGGGAAGACCGTAGGACAAGAGTGTGGCAAGGAGCATACCTGGTGGTCGCCGTGAAGAGCTTCAGCGCGCTACATTTTGCGCTCAGGCATGGGGAGGAGCAGCATTGGCTCTTTGGCAGTATACATTGGTGTAGTATAGTGTAGAGTAGAGAATAGAGTAGTCATCACTCGGTCTGGTAATGAGACCAGAGAGCTATCATTGTTGTCTTGGTTGTTGGGAGGTTGGAAGGGGGATTCTTTTCATCTGGAGATAACGGCATTGCCGGAAAGCAGCCCTAGTGCTGGCCAGTGAGTGGGGGCAGGCAGTGCCAGCGATAGCTGGGTTGGGTGCCCTAGAGATGGAGGTGGCATATGGGGAGGAGCAGCATTGGCTCTTTGGCAGTATACATTGGTGTAGTATAGTGTAGAGTAGAGAATAGAGTAGTCATCACACGGTCTGGTACTGAGATCAGTGAGAGCAGAGAGCTATCGTTGCTGTTGTCTCGGTTGTAAGAAGGTTGGCAGGGGGCTTCTCTTCATCTGGAGGTTACGGCATTGCCCATTCTTGTGCTAGTGGGATCTGTAATGACCCGCCAAAACACAGACTGAGAACAGCGATGATTTCTGGGTTTTGCCGCTGGAATGTATGCCTTGCTGAGATTCCCGTGTTTCCTAGGTCTGTCTGTGTGTGCGTACTTGCTGCTCCGTATGCCTGTCTGAGTGCACGTCTGCCTGAGTGTGTGTGGCCCGCCAGGGAACTTGTGTTGTGAGGCCCAGGGGGCCGGTACTTACCTGTGGCCGTGACTTAGAGGGTTGCAGCGGGGAAAACACTCAAGTACCGGGGAGTAGGCCCGCGACACTTAGCGCAGCAGGGGAAAAACACTCAAGTAGCGGTAGATGTGTCGGGGACTGGAGGTCGAGCAGAAGAAGACAAAAAGTTGGCATTTTTAGAGGCCCAGTAGCGGTAGACTAGACGTAGGCGGGTACCACTCCAAGTAGCCTGAGTCTGGGGACTGTGTGGACGATATCAGAGCCTGCAATGATTTTTCCCTCCGAAAGGGAGGAGGTACCGGTTGCTTGGGGGTCGCGCGGCCTGGAAGTCACCGCCCAAGAGGCAAGTAGGCCGCTATATCTCCAGGTAGAGCGCTGGGCTCTACCTCATTTGCGGTATGCAAGTACCAGTCCAAGTAGCCTGAGTCTAGGGACTGTGCGGACGATATCAGAGCCTGCGATGATGTTTCCCTCCGAAAGGGAGGAGGCACCGGTTGCTTGGGGGTCGTGCGGCCTGGAAGTCACCGCCCAAGAGGCAAGTAGGCTGCTATATCTCCAGGTAGAGCACTGGGCTCTACCTCATTTGCGGTATGCAAGTTTGGGCATCATGCTGCTTGAGCGGGCGGTGGTTCTCAGAGCACTGCCTGGAGGAAGGAGGAGAGCTGGGCGCTCTGCCTGGCTATCGCAAGCAGCCCAGCTAAAGGAGGAAGAAGAAGGGGGCGAAGGAGGAGAGTGGCGAATTACCTACCTGGCCATGGTGGACACCATCTTCATCACCTTGTTAGGGGCTGCATCTGGAAGGCCCCAACTGCCGCATCAGGGAAGCTTCGGGGCAGAGTCAGGCATGGTGGCCTGAAGAGCAGCGGCCATAGCTGTTTTGCGTTGTCTTTTGCACAGGAGAGAAGGGCCCTTAGTAGTCCGCCATAGCCTCGGCCTGTGAGAGGAGGAATGTGGCATTCCATGGGTTCCACATGGGCCCCATTGGGCCCACCAGTAGGGTTACCATTTAGTTTTAGGCGCCAGTGGTTGCAGATTCAGGCGGGGTTTTGCATTGGTGTGGGCGCCCGTTTGATGCAGGCCCTGACCATTGGTACGGTTTGCCTCCCAGGCGGTCCAGCGCTATATATAGCTGATCTGCCTAGTTGTAGACAGGTACTTTTGAGGTAGTTGTGAGTAGGCTTCAGTAATCGACGTGCCGGGTGTTGTTAGTGTTAGTCTTCAAAGTCGGGCATGAGGTTAGGAGTTGAGGTGCTGCAGTGTTGCTGCAGCCCGAGTATATGACTTGCCTTGTGAACTCCTACGGGCTCCCGAAGAAACTGAAGGAGGAACTCGTGGAGCACACTGCCAAGAACCCGGACCTTAGTCCGATCCTTGAGCAGCTGCGGGCTGACCCCAGCAGTCAGCCTGATTTTCACGAATGCGAAGGACTGGCTTTCTGACGCTATGGAAAGAATGACTGTTTGTGTGTACCCAACCATGAGCCTCTCCACACAAATTTATCGGATTTGGCTCACAGTCGGAGTGGACACTTCGGCATTGCAAAAACCTACGGAAACCTGTTGCAACAATTTGACCAGCCTGGTATAAAAGGATCTGCTGTAAAGTTTGTGGTTGAGTGTCAAGTTTCTCAACCAATCAAATCATCAAGGCGAAAGCCGATGGGGCTGGTCAACCCCCTCCCCATTCCCAATCGTCCCGGAGAGTCCGTCTCCATCGACTTCACATACATGGGAAAAACAAGTAAGAATAGGTATTCACAAGTGATGGTGATTGTTGACCGCTTTTCAAAGTTTCTGAATCTGATTCCCTTGCCATCTCATGCAAGTGATGGTGATTGTTGACCGCTTTTCAAAGTTTCTGAATCTGATTCCCTTGCCATCTCATGCCCCAACAGAACTCGTGATCCAAGAATTCCACCAGAAGTTCGTTCTGCAGTTTGGGACCCTGAAAACCCTTGTGAGTGATCGGGACCCGCGCTTCATAAGTGCTGATTGGAAGGACTTCACGACCCAACTCGCTGGCCTCAAAGGAAGTGTGACATCTGGCCGACACCCCGAAGCCAACGGTTTGGCTGAGGAAATTAATCAGACTGGGTTTCAGTTCCTTCGTGCCTTAATTATCCCGGATCAGGAAATGTGGGATGAAGAGTTGTATCCGGCCAAGGGGTTGTACAACAACTCCATTCATTCGTCCACCGGCATGACACCTAATAGGCTGCGGTACAGCTGGCAGATCCATAATTCGCTCTCCTACTTCCCTAAACCACCAGCCGGTCTGAGACCTGGCAGGCCTGGCTTCAGCACCAAGTATGATCGCTTGCTCAGAGTTGTCATTGCAGCAATGACCAAGCGACAGCACGCCATGATCCATCATGCGAATAAGAAGGGCACACCATCAACAATCAAAGTGGGAAGTTATGTCTGGGTCAAAATGTCGGAATTTTCAGAGGAGGAAGGGGTGTCACGCAAACTTCTCCCTCTCTATTATGGTCCGTGGGAAGTTTTGGACGTGATTGGTGATGATAAATTTGGTCCTTCATACATAATTGTTGTGCCTCCTCATCTGCACACGTATCCAGTCTTTCATGCATCAAAGTTGTTTATATATCGAGATGCTATATCCTCCGAATATTGTGAGGACATGATCCCTCGTGCAATTAATGGCAGTCACGAGATCGACAGAATTAAAAATCACATGGGGAAGGGATGTAACAGACAATATCAGGTCCGTTCCATGTACCAGCTGTTGGATGATCTCTATTGGATTTCTAAGAAGGAACTGCTGCGCAGTGCACCTCACGTTGTGAAAGCATATGAACAACAGATAGCTTCCGAAGCTGTTCCCAAAATCTCTCCAAAATTCACTGCTACTGAGTGCTCACAGAATCTCTTCGCTATGTTCGCTTACGGCGCATTTGTCAGGGACTTAGAATGAGCTACTCGCTCGAAGGGACCGGGGTAGTGTTAGGACCTGCCAAACACGGACGGAGACACAACTGATTTCTGAGTTTTGCTAATGGAATCTACGCCTTGCTGAGTTTTCGCTTGTTGCTGAGTTTCTAAGTCTCTGAGTGTGTGCATGCTTGCTGGTCTGCTTGCCTGTCTGAGTGCTCGTCGGTTTGAGTGTGTGTTTGACCCGCAAGGGTACTTGCGGTGCGGAAGGCCCAAAGGGCCGGTACTTACCTGTGCCCGTGACATTGAGGGTTGCAGCAGGGAAAACACTCGAAGTGGCGGGGAAAGAGGCCCGCAAAAACACTCAAGTAGCAGGTAGGCCGGTACCACACCAAGAAAAGGTAGATGTGCTGGGTACTTGAGGCCGAGCAGAAGAAGACAAAATTGGCATTTTTAGAGGCCCAGTATTTGTAGGCTAGGTCTAGGCGGGTACCAGTCCAACCAGTCTGAGTCTAGGGCCTGTACGGGCAATATCAGAGTCTGCAGTGATGTTTCCCTCCGAATGGGAGAAGGTAGCGGTTGCTTGGAGGCCGCGCGGCCTAGAAGTCACTCGCCAAGAGTCATGCAGGCCGCTATTCTCCAGGAGGAGCGAAGTGCTCCTCATTGTCAGTGTGCAAGTTGGCGACACACTGGTTGGAGCACTGGCTGGAGCAGCGCTAACACAGAGCAGCGCCGCTGGGGAAGGAGCAAGGACAGGAGGAGGAGGAAGACAAGGACTAGGAAGGGGCAGCGCCAGAGGTACTTACCTGGCTATGGTGGATGCCATCTTCATCACCTTGGTGGATGCTGCATCTGGAAGGCCCCGCTGGGGTAGAACTGCACCAAGAAGCTTCGAGGCAGAGTCAGGCATTGCAGCCTGAACAAGAGAAGCCATAGCTGCTTTGTGTTGTCCTTTGCACAGCAGGGCAATGCCCTGGTAGTCCGCCATAGCCTTGGCCTTAGAGGAAGGAGGAAGAAAGGTGGCCATGGCTATGGTGGACCTTATTTGATACCTGCAGTAGACGAGGGATTCGGACATTGATTCTGGTTCAGCTATTCAATATTATTATTATTATTATTTCTTGTTTGAATAAGAGGGGAGGAGATAAGGAGGAGGAGAGTGGTTGGCGAAGAAGAAGGAAATTCTCACTGGTCTTTGCTTCTTCTTCTTTCTTTTGTCTTCTTCTTCTTCTTCTTTCCCTCTCTCCTCTCAAGTTCATTCATTTCTTTTTGCAATTGGACGGCATTGTACTTTCTCATGAATGTGTACTTCAAAATTGATCAGGATCATAACAATCCAGTCTTTCATGCATCCAAACTTTTACCATCTGTGGAGAGCCAAGAATTTCCACACAACCCTCCATGAATGGAGGATACGAAGTGGAAACGATACTGGAACATGGCCTCTTTTCTACAGGGAACGGAGGCAGCCCGCAGAAGCAGTATAAGGTAAAGTTCAAAAACCAACCTGAATCAGAATCACGATGGTTTAGTACCAAGGAACTTCTACCCACTGCACCTGACATGATTGCAGCCTATGAACGTGGGTTGAGAGAAAACCATGCCTAAAAGAATTAATTTTTGCGATGGAACTCGAAATCGGGACGGATGGAATGCAATAACTCAGCCCAAATCTGCAAAGTAGCGGGCTATAGGTCGTCGCTTTGGTCAAAGCCCTGAAACAGGGCTGAAGAATCACACCCCAAGTCTGTGAAACGCCAGCGCAAAGGCCTAAGGTCAAGGGGTACCCAGGGCATGGCCAAAACCAGCATCTAGAGACCCCCCACACGGCAGTTGATTCTTGGAAAATGAAGAGTAAGACCAAGCACTGGAGAAGCAGGCCCAAAGTCAAAGTCAACCTGCTGGTCAGCCACTGCCGTCCATCAGATGCACATCATTGGTTGTCTGCCGGTAGCCAGAAGATTTCGGTACCTGCAGGAGACAAGAAAGGCATGGGACAGCTCTGCATCCAGGCAATTGACTTTCAGATAATCTGGGCCGTTGACCCAAGGAGGCTGGAGGCTGGTCCTCGCAAGTCGACACTATATGGAGTTGACCCAGCCACCATGGAGATCATTCTGCCTTGCGCTGGCTTGGTGCTGGTGTTGAGTCGCGAGGCTGCTGGAGCTGGATGTTGGCGCCAGATGCTGGAAGTGGGCGCCAGCCTAAAGTGAGATTATGCTGCCATGGCCATAGCCATGTAGTGGTAGACTAGAGGATGAGGATTGGATAGGAGGATCAGGGCTGTGAGACTAACGGGAGATCTGGGGAAGCTTACCTGGACTTACCTGGCGACGACACATGTGATCTGCACAGTGATTATGACAGAGGACGTCAGAGGGAACATTCATTGCTGAGGTGGCGAGAGGGGAGAAGCCTGAAGTGGAAATGGGAGAGAGAGTGAGACATACTTGTGCTATTGACTATCATTGAGACTCTCTCTGTCCTCTTCTCTGTCTTTTCTCTCCCCTTGCTCTTCTCTCGTGCTCTTCTTTGACGGGATAATATTCTTGAACTGTGCGTATGATCGAGACTTGGACTTGTAATTGATGATTGAAAACTTCATGAGTCACATTGGGTTCGGACAGCATTGCTGTTTGGCTTCTCACGAGTCTGTGTTCATTACAAATGGCTTGAAATGCGTCATAATCAAACTAAACATTAGACATTTGTCCGACATTCCGTCCTGTCCACTCGGCTCCTCTTGGGAATCCTGAAACTGACTATGGTGGAGGATATGGCCTATTATCTCATCCATTGCTCACCTATAGAAAGGTTAATTTATATCCCAGTCTACCTTTAGCGCATAGGAACTCAGCACTGAGTGCAGTTTGGCATTTTGCATCTGGGTGCCATCTCAAGAGTTGTTGGTCCTTCTCAGTCCTGTACTTGTAGTTGGGCAGGGCCTCTTCTGTCAATCATCTCTCCTGTACTTGTAGTTGGGCAGGGCCTCTTCTGTCCATCATCTCTCTACCTCATTGCTCACCTGTAGAACTGGCAAGCTGGGGCAAATTTCTGTCCCAGTCTACTCTCTACCTTCAGTGCGTAGGAACTCGGTACTGAGTGCACTATGGCATTTCGCGTCAGGGATGCATCTCAAGAATTTTAGTCTTTCTGATCCCTGCACTTGTAGTTGGGTGGGGCCTCTTCTGTCCATCAGCTCTCCACCTCAGCCATCAGATCTAAATCTGGCCAAGGGGTGAGGTGTGAGGCTTTAATCTGAAGCATCCACAGTACAGGACAAAATTCAGTCAGGACACTATGTGCTTGTTCACTGTTCAAACAATGGTATTGACCAACAATTTGATTGTGAGGTTCTCACTGTTTGGATAGTTGATGCCATTGTTCATTGTTGTTCATCAGTTCATGTATGTTGCAAACCATACCATACCTTCCCCATAGCACGCTAGTGTTGAGCTCATAAGATGTTCTCCAACAAGGGATGTGGAACATTTGAATGTGTTGCATGGCTAGGTCATGTCGACGGTTTATATTTCTCATAACATTGGGGTAGGATGGTTGGATGACAGTAAGCACAGGGCCGAAGGGAAGGGGTCAGGCAGGAGAGAGATGAACGACCGGCTGTGTGCGCATCTGCCCACCCAATCAACCAACATGACTGCTCGATCACCCACCCAATCGACTGAGCAATGATTGATTGGCCAATGCACAGCCGACCCATTGACTGACTTTTTTTCTTTGCCTTTGAGAAGTCGGGTCTTGTTATTGTGCACGCTGAAAAGTGGGTACAGCGTCCCTTACATCAGAAGAACTGACGCTAATGCTCCTCCCTGTTATGGCCGGGAGGTCCTGAGACACCGGCATTGATTGCTCCGTCCATGGGAGGGTGTACCACTGCCCCTGCTTTGCAGTTCCACCTTTCCTATTTCTTCCGTTGGTATACCACTGCTCTACCCCAGCCCTCTAGCCTCACTCCTCCTGTGCTCTCCCTTGGCTCACTCCTGATCGACTGACTTTTTTGACTGACCAACTGGCTTATAACTCAAATGTAGTGGTCGGTTTTCAAAACGAATCCCTGCAAACACGGACGCTCGAAGTTCAACACTGATAATTTCAGGCTGCCAAAAAAGAATAAGCAAAGAGAAACAAGCAACAAGCAACAAGCAACCATAGGTATGTACACGTTTCCCTCTCCCCTTTACGACTGTGGTGCCCCTTTCCTTCTATGCATTGGAATGACTCAGTGGCATGACCCTCTGGCATCTGCAGAGAGAGAAAAACGACCTGCTTGCAGCATTGCCTCTGAATGGAGCGTAGGGCAATTTATTTGTTGTACCTGGTAGGAAATCCTGTTCAGGTGGATGTACACAAGGGTGGCTGGGTGGTACTATTTTCTTTTAGAGGGGATGATGGTGTATGGGGCCATTTTTACGTTAATCCAGGGTCCCAAATAGTAACTTTCCTCAAGAAAAGGGGAAAATGGGAAAAACAGGAATGAAGGCAAATCGACGCTCACGAGTGAGGGCTTAAAGGCCGTGCAGTGTTTAGTGTGTGAAGCAGTATTTAATCCTATTCGATGGCCTTGATCCAGGTTGTGAAGCTTGGAAGTGGAGCTGGAGCAGATGCACGCATTCGTGAGGAGTTTGGTGTTGGGAAAGTGGGTGAGGGTGTGAGCTCCAGGCCTCCAGGCGGCAGTACAGTTCCAGAAGCTGCATTCTCGACTGTGCCGGGGGTGTCAGGGGCTGGTGGCAATGCGCGGAAACTCTGGTCACCAGGTCTTAGCCAGGGCCTCTTAAGCCGCATTAAGACCTCCCGTCAACGTGGTATAGCTCACCATGCACCTGTGACTGCCCTTCATTGTCACCCGTCCGGAATTGGGCCTACTGCTGGGGCAGGGGGCGTCGAGTTTGCGAGAGGTGCAGTGGGAGGAAGTCGAGCAATGAATTTGCCCGCTCTCAGTCTATCGGACTTGGTGTTGACATCATCGGTTGACTGGACCTGCAAGCTTTGGTACGTAAGAAATACTGCACAGCCTGTTTGCATCTTTGAGGAAGCTAGTGAATACTGTTTTGATGTGCGTTGGTCACCAGTCAACCCATCAGTATTTGTATTAGCTTGTGGAGATGGGAACGTCCAGGTGTGGAACCTTAATAGGAGTATGGACCACCCATTGGTCCGTGCAAGCGCAGTAGGCTCAGATGTAGGGAACATGAGACACGGGGATTGTTTGGGTGGGCCACTTCATGGACCTGGAATTCAAGGAGGAGAGGTGGTCAGCAGAACCATACCTGCGGGCCTGAGTGGTGATCCAACAAGGGGTGCAAGAAGAGCAGTGAGCAAGGTGCGTTGGTCGCTGGATGGACGGAAGATCATCACTGGTGATAATGCAGGTGTCATCTATGTTTATGACCTGGCAACTGAGGTTGCATGTATGGAGGTTGATGAGAGTGAACAGCTGCAAAGGAAGTTGAAGAAGATGACCACCCTAGATGGCTTTGTATAGTTGGATAGGGCTTTATTGCATTGCACCACCTTTCAGTTAGCTATTTAGATGACAGGTAGAGAAAAACCAGATGCAAATCCGCTTCTTCCCACTTCAAAAGAAAAGTTATTGAGCTTAAGCAGGGATTGATTGGTGGGGAAGTCAATGTCAGCAATAAATTGGTGGGTATTGTATGGTTATCGCGCGATGATGCCATTGCAGGGCGACAGTACCGGTTGATCAGAGCTATTATTCTACTGGAAAAAAGTATTGACGCAGTACCAGTTGGGGCAAGAGGGGAAGTGGTGGTGGATTGCAGGTCTCTCTCTCTCATACCTTGTGGCCTCCTTGTATCCACAATGAGCTGGTGATGTCATCCAGCTCAACCATCCATAACTGCGATTATATGTAGGTGCTCATGAAAAGCCCATTATCTTCAGGGTTGTCTGTTTGTCATTTTCTTTTTCGCCGCATTCTTTGTCTCTTCCCAAGTTGGTTTACATATTTGTTATTGTCCTC